TGGTGGAGGGGGGTGGCCTAAGTCCCCCAGAACCCCTCCCCTACTAGACCACTGGCTACGACAATGCCATAGTGGCAGCAGGTCATCCCACATGTATCTTACATTCCGCCTGCAACATTATATAGTTAACGTACAGTACATATTTAATGGGAATATACTTAGCTAGTTACCTTGACTTGGCCATATACCGGTTGCAGGCATACATCAGCACATGTAAGTTATGATTTATCTCCCAGGGATATGAAGCAATGTCAGGAGGTCAGGGTAATGTAGCTTACCCCATAACCCCAATAATGGCAGATTTCCCAATCAGTGCCCCCAGTATTCGGATAGGCAATTTAGCAACACCCTGCCTTGCCTGCCACCTTTCAGACAGGCACCCAACCTGATGACATCAGTCTGTGTTAATTGTTAAACCCATAGATAGGTCTCCTATATCTATGGTTAAACCCAATAGTTATGATAAATGATAATATTTATATCAGCAGAAACATTTCAAAGTTCAAACACTATGTCATAATTCCATTTAATTAAGTTATTTTCAAGCATAATTAATTGTCAACATAATTTTTTATGACTCAATTAATAAATAAATTAAATAGATATAACCATGGAACTGTTTGTATGAATGTAATGCAATGTACAATGCAGTGCCGTAGCCAGAACGATAATTGGGGGGGGGGGGCACATATTCATATATTCGTGTTCACATACCATAAAAACAATTGATTTCAAAAGAAATTAATAAAGCAGAACACGAATATATGAATATGTGCCCCCCCCCCCAATTATCGTTCTGGCTACGGCACTGGCACAATGTTAAATCAAAGGACAAAGGAATGATATAGCTAGAGACCTAGAGTATTAACAGAGGGAAGTATTTTCATGCTTATTTTAAATATCAATACAATGCACCAATTAAAGTATCACTATGTGATTGTAATAAACAAAATAGGCTAACAGGTCCACAATTGCCCATAAAGCATTCTACATATTTTAATATTATAAAAACATCTAATAGTTTGTAATAATCTAGATCCTGTATAAAACCTCTGTCAGTGGCCTTCTTGCGAAGTCTCTCGATACCATTTCTTGACCGTATAAAATCCATAAAAATGATTGGTTTATATACACCGCATATATATTTACTCTGTAACTTTTAGCACAAGAAAATGAATCTTTTTCAATTGATTTCAATGTAAAAAGTATCAAATTTTCGACTGAATTCTACGATTTTATTTATAATTGCAATTAATGACGCCCGCGCGAATTCAGTGTTGCGGTTTGAGCGTGAGCATGCGCACAACTAACCGGATATCCAAAATTGGATATCCGGTATTCCGTTTCTCCAGAGTCATGCCCAGCACCTAACCTGCGAACGGGCATACTCTGGGTACGAGATTGATCCCTAAGGGGAGACTGGGAAGCTTCGCATATCGATTTTGTCTACGAGAAACGTCACTATCGAATTTTTCCGCCGATGATGTTTTACAGAGAAACGTCACAGCTGTAAATGTGTGGCTTCCCCTAGTAAATATACATGAACTTGTGGGTAGAGCTCGACAACTGTCCTCTGTGGCTCAGTTGGTTAGAGCTCGACAACTGGCCTCTGTGGCTCAGTTGGTTAGAGCGCTGCACCGGAATCGCAGGGCTGTAGGTTCGATTCCTGCCTGGGTCCTTGAATGTTTGCATGGCGAAGAAAGAACAATAGAGACCTTAAGATTGACGTTTACGGCAAACGTCAAACCGCTAGCGAGGTTTTTGATTTTACAACTCTATTATAATAGCTTTTACACCAGTTTTGAAATATGCTAAACTTGTTAAACTTCTGCTCTTTAGCAATGATTTAAGAAAGCAAATTAACCACTAGTCATGCAATTCACCAAAGCAGTAAATTGAGATTTGGCGTTTGAAGTTGGCGTTTGGCGTATAAATTTCATGCTTGAACTGCTACGAGGGCTTGTAGTCGTTAAAGCATGAAATTTATACGCCAAACGCCAACTTCAAACGCCAAATCTTAATTTACTGCTTTGGTAAATGGCATGACTAGTGGTTAATTTGCTTTCTTAAATCATTGCTAAAGAGCACAAGTTTAATAAGTTTAACATATTTCAAAACTGGTGTAAAAGCTATAATAATAGAGTTGTAAAATCAAAAGGTCTCTAATAGTAATATTTTCCAACATGTGGAAAGAAAACACCACATTTATTTATTAATGATTGACCAGGCTTATGAATCGAGACCTTTGCCATAAGCATAGTTAGATCATGCTATAATAATATGCATGTGTAGACCTTTACAAAGAATTAGCCTGCGTAACGGCTCAGAGAAAGTAGAGCCTGCACGAAACCCCCTGCTTTGCCGTATTTACTCGTTCTCTCAGAGGACGAGAAATCTGATTGGTTCAAAATGAAAAAAATATGCTAATTTATGCTAAAATTGATATAAACACGGCGGATGTATTATTGAGAGGCGTTTCTTTGAGTTTTGCATTCAAAAGAACTTAAAGGCCACGATTTACGGTTGAACATTAAAGGTATTTACGAACTTGGTTCACGAAGCTCTATAGATATTGACTGTGGTGTCTTGTTGGATTGCTGTCTGTTAGCTAGCAGCGCCTCTTTCACAACTCACGAGCGTGTTCGTTTTCATAAATTCATCGATGACAAATAGATTTTTTCTTCATGATTTTGTAGCTAATAATTTTGTGCCAGGAGAGAATTGCTATAAATGCTTATGTCTTATGAACAGGACTTGCTCTCTGTGAAGTGATGGCTTTAAACACCTTTAATATTCTCTTCTCAGCATCGCTAGAAACTTTAACATTTAATTCATCACGGTTGACCGCTGTCGAAACTATAAATTATATTTGTACGTGTGCGAGAAAGCTACGAAATATCGTAGATACGGACTGCAAACTACTTGTGACAACGATGGAGATTGCCCTAGGCCTAGCGCTATTCCCACAGACTTCAATTTTCTTTAGCCGCCATCCGTATATTACAGTATTTCGTCAAGTTTTGAAATTTGCGAACATACAGCAATCTATATTTATATTTCATTTTGATAAATAAATTTGCAAACGTAAACAATCTGTGTGATTGGCCAATTTTGACATCTGTTTAAAGTGGGCGTAGCCCGCAGGCTAGTGGGCGGAAATGGCAAAGCAGGGGGGTTCGTGCAGGCTCTACTTTCTCTGAGCCGTTACGCAGGCTACAAAGAATTGAGTTTAAGCCTAACGCCCGTATTCTAAAAGCACACCCACACTCAATGAGTGCATGGAAGTTCAATCTGAGCTTCTCTCGAATGTAATTGCTGTTTTTGAATAGCTGTAGGGCTAGTGTCATATCTTATTATGTGACTACTCGCCCTCACGAGAAGCTCAGATCAAACCTCCACTCACTGTGAGTGTGAGTGAGCTTTTAGAATAAGGGCGTATACTTGTCAAGGAGAGAGTGCATGCTGCCACTTGGGGTTAAAACATCTGTTTTAAATTAAAAATATATATGTTTTGACAGGGCAGATCCTCGATGTCCATCTTGTAGAATAGAAATATCTGATTCAATGGTATGTTGTGTATTGAATCAAATGTTGCAATGTTTCATCTAGTGGTTACTGGCGGTGTTCTTTAACATTACCAAATAACTTCTAGATTTTTGAAGACCATGCTGCAAGAAGGTTGATCAAACAGCTGGAAGTAAATTGTTGTAATGAAGGCTGTGGTTGGCAGGGATGTCTGAGTACACTTTTACAGGTACAATATGCTATGTTTTGATCTTACAGCGATTCTCACTCGACAATGCCAATTGTTTTGTCGAAATGTGATTGTCGTTTTGGCGTCACACGATTGTTGTATACTGTCACGGCCATTTTAAAATGTTGTCTGGGCCATTTGAGAATGTTATCAGGGCGCGGTATTTTTATTATAGTTCCACGTTTGAGTGGCAATTGCCGTACCGTGACAGCACTCTCCCCTTAATTGACAAGTACATGGAAAAATGATTCAACTCTGATTGGCAAATGCTTATAAGATTTTAGGTAATAGTGCATGCTATAGGAAATCCTTTAGGAAGTCTAGTTTCCCATTGGAATTTCTATAGGAATTTCTATAGAAATAGAATTGCGTATAAGAATTCTTACAGGAATTATAGGATTTTTTTTGTAAGACGATCATACATTTTTTAAGGTAACACATTCGTTACCATCCTATGACCTATACTAATTCAATCTAGGATCATCAGAATAGCTGCACCTTTTTGATCCGCAGTGGTGATAATGTCCATCAACTTGATGTGGGAAAACTTGAGCAAAAACTTGAAACACTCATGCTCAAAGTTTCAACTTTGGAAAAGAAGGTATAAGAACACATGCATTGTGTTAGATAATTCTGTCAGATTCACTTTATATTACATTTGTTTTGACTGATAATTACTTTAAATTTGTAAAAAAAATTTAGCATGAAGAAGATATTAAAGAACTTAAATTGAAGGTAATTAGTACTTTTGGTACAAATGTAATTAAATTGCGCATATGGTGAAAAATTTAAAATAGCCTTTAAAACGAAGACGATATTATTAATTTAGAACTTATAAGTATATCTGCCCATGTCACTTTAAGGGCCTGTTCATATGGGCAAAAGTTATCCCGGTTAACGAGAGAACTTTTCGACTAGCCAAATACTTTTGTTCTGTTCATATGGAGAAATATTATCCCACTTACCGGGAAAAGTTTCCAGCTGTGACGTAGCAATGAACATCAATTGAATTGAAAAGTTGCTGACACGACAAAAAGTTATCCCGCTAAGCGGGAAAGTTTTGTTCATATGGGGAAAACATTATCTCGGTCACCGAGATCTCGCCTGTCAACAAGCGAGATCTCGGTACACGGGAAAACTTTTCGTCTCATGTGAACGCAATGTAACTTTTCATATTATTTTCGTAACAAGGCGAGATCTCGCTCGTAAACTTGTCGAAAAGTTTTCTCGCTAACCGGGATAACTTTTGGGCCATATGAACAGACCCTTACAAGTCAAGTACACTACATGCAATGCATTAAATGATGTATCTTTTAAATTTGCGTTTTGAAATTGACATATATTTGCTAATATTGCAGTATGAAAATGAGATGAAGCAAGTCAAATCAAAGGTAAAACGGTTTAACTTTTTTTTGTCAATTCACTCAGGTGTGATTACAAATTTTGTCTTAGTATCACCGTATTTTATTTTTTGTGGGTTCTAATGTTTATAGCTCATAATGCCTGGTAAAGCACACCAAATGCTATAATTTAATCGCTTAGCATGATGAAGAACCTTTGAACAGGTGTTTCACATTTGTTCTTATTGATGAGCAAGATGATCTTAGTCAAAGACAAAACATTGAGGCCACAATATTTCCAAATTATGCTGAAGAATTTAGGAGATAGACAGCGTGAAGGCTAGAGAAAATACAGTTAGTCAAACATTCATTTCTGCGTCCTCGTCAATGGACCGGCCATTTGCATTATAGACTAAATTGTGATCTAGACAAAAATTTCACCACAGCTTGAAAGAGCATCACAAAATTAGTAATATTCCAAAGTTTCGTTGCGAAATGTTGTAAAATGCGAATAATATGGCCTTGCGAAATTTGCAATTTTCAGTCATTTTAGATTACAAACGGGAAATGGTTACCACTTCTGTGCGTAATACGAATTGACTGAAAATTACAAACTTTGCAAGGCTATATTATCCGCATTTTACAACATTTTGCAACGAAACTTTGGGATATTACTAATTTTGTGATGCTCTTTCAGGCTGTGATGAAATTTTTGTCAGATCAAAATTTAGTCTACAATGCAAATGGCCATAGTCAATACATTAGAGATCACCCTGTATATACATCAAGAGCATGCATTATAGTGTGGACGCCTACCTACAGTAGTTGTACTATCATCTAGACATTCGCGTGCTTGAAAGAATTTGCATGGCAACCATGACGTCGGGTAAACCTGTATGTCTCTCCACCTGTCTGTCCTCGTCCACTCCTTTCCACCTGCATGTCTTGCTTACTTACTTACTTATTCTCCCCTTTGCTCCTTTTAAGAATTTTTAATATGTAGCATACACTGATATATTTAACTTTTAACATATACATCTAATCTAAATTCTTGGCAGGTACATGTACCTTGCATGGGTCCTCTTTCAAGAGTCCCGTTTGTACCTTGCCTTTTCGAATCTTCGAATTATAAATTATTCTTATGTAACTATTTGCTGTGTTATTCTTGCACTCGATAACATATTCTATGCATTATTGGTCCAAATTAATTTTTAAACTATTAAGCAGCAACTGCGGCCTCTTACAATTGTACCTTTTCTAACATTGCAGCATGAAGATGAGTTAAAGCAATTCAAGACAAAGGTCAGTTAAATTTTTTGACATTTAAGAAATATTGGTGTGACTGTTGGTCCCAAACTCCCAATATTTATATTTTTAGAAACTAAAAGAGTTCTTTTTCTAAATTTTGCCTAGCACGATGAAGATGTGAGGCTTCTTGGGCAAAAAGTTTATTTATTGCAGGCCATCGGAGCTGCGCATGCTCCACTGACAACACAGTTTCATCAACGACCTTTGCATCAACAAGAACCGAAACCAGATTACACTTTAAAGATTGCAGACTTTACAAGAAGGCTTGCTCAAGCAAAATCTGACAATGATCATGGCATAATTCAAAGTGAACCTTTTTGCTCCAGCCATGGTTACAAAATGAAGCTTCAGGTCCAATTAAATCAAGCGCCATATGGCTACGAAGGCTACATGGGTGTTTACATAGTGTTAATGAAAAGTGATCGAGATGGAACACTACCCTGGCCTTTTACAAAGCGTTGCACATTTGTTCTTGTTGATCAGCAAGATGACATTCGTCAGAGACAGAACATTGAGGCGGTATTTACTCCAAATGGACAGGAAGAGTTTAAGAGACCAAGACAGCGTGAAAATAGAGGAAGGGGAAATCCTCAATTTGTTAAACACTCCACTCTACGTACTCGTCAATACGTTAGAGACCACGCTGTATTCGTCAAGATTCTGGTACATCCATGAAGATAACCGTAATTCTATTTGGTGTCACGCTTACCTGGTGATAGAATTCAAAGATTGGCTATCTTCACAAAATTAAAGTCTACAGGCATTAGCGGTTTTAAATTATTTGTTTTGTCCAAAACACCAGGGTTATATTTTTTCCACAGCTTATACGATCCTTAAACCGGATCTTCATTTGTCATGAAAATTATCTCACGAGTCAGAAGCTTTGCAAAATAACAACTCCATTATTTTTATCGCTATCTAAATTTGAAGAAACGTATTAAGATATAGTAGATACACTCGACTTTCAAAGTGTTCAATTATCATGAATAACATCATTAAGATAAACTGACCAAGCTGCATGTTAGTTATCTTAATTTAATTAGTAAAGTCAATTAACTTGTAAGACCATATGTTCATCAGAGCCCAGTATTTGTAGAATTCACACAATAAGTAACACGTATAATAATTTAAACAACAGAAATCTTTATTAATAACATGATAATTTATACAAATATATCACATAATTAGACTTTCAATTAAATCAGGAAAATAGAGAAACAGTTCACTATGTTAGACAGATAGGTCCATTCTCTACACTTTGTATCAATAGTAGCTAATAAAAATTCAGTAAGTCTGGATTATTCCACGGCTTGTTTCTTCTGCAGTAAATGTAGAATGTTGCTCTCAGAGCTACCTCCATACATTTTTTAATAATACGTTCGTCGTTCATTTCAAGTGTTCGTAATAATCTGCGAAATCTGTCAATATCTTTCGACACAAACCCTAGAGTGGTTACTTCAAGTGTAATAACTTCAAACGCATAACACGCCGTGATCAGCTCAGATCTTAGATGTCTGTATCTTTCTTTCTTGCGACGTTTAGCCTTCGTACAATTGGTTTCGTAGGGAACAGTTAATTCAACCACATATACAGAACCCTTAAAATCCACCACTATATCAGGTCTTAGCGTTCGAAATAAAGTTGAAGTACAGGTCGTACCTGAATTAGGACAGTCAGCAAACAGTCGAAGATCTGCACCAACTGCGACTTTTAAGTGATGAATAATAGTCATCAGAATCGAGTCATGCCGCCAAGTATAGCGTTGTTGTTCTAGGGCTACCTTGCAGTTGGAAAAAACGTGTAGCTGGGTTTGTAACTTGTTGCACAGCTCACAGTTGGCGGAGTCACGAATGTTCCAGCGCTTAACGCTCTCCTAGCAAAGCATACTATATTGCTGGGCATTCGAGTGACAATTTCGTGCCATACTTTAATCATCTTCTTATAGCAAGTATCAGTTAAGCAGGTAATGATCACGGATTGTTCTTTTAGTTCTACAAAGTTTGACCAAATTTCGTTAAGGTTTTTCTTTACCAGAATCTTCTTTGCAGCGTTTCTTAACATATATTGTTCAGAGATACTAGCAGCCGCCCGTTCAATAATATCATCAGTGACGATGTTTTTTTATGACGTTTTGGTATATAGCTGTTGAATATCGGAGTTGACAGAAGTCCTCAAGATTCTGCGCACTGTCAGTTTACATTGATTATATATGTCAGAGGGGGAACAGAAATCAATTCCCAGTTGTAATTTAGGAAGCTTTAGATGACTAATGTTACCGCTGATTGGGATGTGGAGCCATTTCCGGATATATTTGGAAATTATGGAGTCCAGATTAGAATGTATCCAGCTTATAGTAAGCGAGTAGATTGAAAAACGCCAGAAGAACTTTGAGTAGACATAACTTTGAACCACGCGTATTTTCGAAAATGGATTTATTGGGATAAGATCAATTTTCTTTAAGTAGTGTTGGATTTCATCAAGGATCTCAATTTTGGTTTCAGTACAATCCATTTCAAAATTGAATTGTTTACCTAAATACATAAAACTTTCACCGTCCTCGATTGGGGGAACCTGTTGACCAGAGATTTTTATAGTAGGTTTATACTGGACTGCTTTTGTCCCAAACTTTTTGATCCCAAAAGTGTGGCACTTATTTACTCGGATATATAAGTCTGCCCAAGAGGACCATTTACTAAATGCATTGCACAGTAGTTGATTGTCTTCGTTATGTGCAGATATAATTGCAGCATCGTCCGCGAATTGGAACCAATGACGAGGGTTTAAGGATATATCATTAACATAACCAAGGCACTGTATCCTTTCATCATTTATCGTGTTAATGAGTGAATTCACGCATAAATTGAAAAGCAAGGGGGACAAACAGTCTCCCTGCAGTACGCCCCGTTCTACAGATATCGGTATGGTTATAAAATTCTTCGTCAAGATTGAGATACCATAATCAGTGTAAAGGTTTTCTATCATACCAGTGATTTTGTCAGGAATGTGGTGACTTTTTAAAATAGATTTTATCAGGTTATGGTGCACTTCTCCAAATGCGTTTTTGAGATCGATTAGAGTGACAATGATAGACCGCTGCTTGTTGCGGGCGTGGTTTAATAAATAGTTTAACAGTTCGGTATGTTCAACTGTACCAGACAAGCCTGGCCAGAAACCCTTTTGAATGTTTGTTTCGATATATTTATTATCGCGCACGAATTTGAAAATTTTGTTCCTTATCGCAGAGGTGAAAACTTTCAACATGACTGGCTCTAAAACAATTAGCAGGATTGTCAGGTGAATCCTTTTTGTAAATGAATACCGCAACAGCACGTTTCCAGATAGTCGGAATATATTTTTCGGTCCAGCATTTCGAGAGGAGTCTCCAAAGCTGTGTTCTCAGGATGGGGCACCGTTTAAAAGGAATAATACTTATTTGGTCAATAGGGCAAGGAGAACCACTACTTTTCATTTTCCGAATTATTTTCGTTATTTCTTGGTAAGTTGGACATTCCAGGTCGAAATTGCTCGATGGCACTGGAAATGGTTTAAGCCAAGAGGGAAGGTTGAATGTTCGGTTTTTATTCTTTTCGAAGAAAATATTTCTAAAATAATCATAGCAGGACGATTCGTCAAAATTTGGTTCTTGTGTCTCTGATTCTTCAAACTCTTTTTTACAAAATTTCCAAAAATCTTTACTTAATTCTTCTTCATAATTACGCTGAACATGTGAGCGCAATTTCTTCCGCAACAATCTACTGACATATTTTATTTCTTCCAGTTTGCCGTTTTGGAGTTTAAGGTTTCTGAGGCATTTCTTTAACTTCGATTTTGACATATTATTATAGTGATTGAAATCGTTCCTAGCTTTAACTTGGCCATAATTGGCACTAAAATACGCCCACATAGTTCCATTCAAATGATCGATTTCCATATTCAAATTTCTTAGTTCCCTAGAAGTGTTTATCTGCATACGAAAATATTCGTTTGCCCTGTCCCATTCAGATTTCGACCGTGGGAGTTTAACTCCCACTAACAGCGATGGTTTTTGACTTGGAAAAATAGCACTAGGCATTTCGGACAAAACTTCGCCCGCTACGTTCAAATTAGGGTTGTTCACTTCAACAAATAAGTCCGAAAGGTTGCCGCTGCTATTCCCTATATAGCATGATCGACGATACAAAGTCAACGAGCGATAGCTTAAAAACATACGGCCACAATAGCATCTAAATAATAAATACTAATAATAATAATAATAATAATAATAATAACACGTATATCATAATTGCATGATTAAAATTTACTTTTCCTGGCAACCTTGAAACAACCGCATAAATGTTGTGTGTGACTGAGAAGAGAAAATTCAACCCACATTTTCCAACATTGATCATGAGGAGGGAATCCCGAAACATCGAGTTGGATTCGAGTTCGAGTTGGACTTCGAGTTAGACTTCGAGTCATTTATATACCGGAATTTCCGAATGTTCCAGTAATTTCAGAACAACGTTAATTAACTCCGATTCTTGTTTATTTCTTCGAAACTCGTGTTTATAGTATACATGGGAATCCCGAAACATCGAGTTGGATTCGAGTTCGAGTTACTTATACACAAGGGTGGGTTGACTACAAAATTTTTGTAGTTCGCTATAACTACAGCTATTCAAAAATATGTAGTCAGCTACAACTACTGCTACTTTTGAACAAAGGTAGTTCGCTACTGACTACAGCTACTGCTTAAAAAATGTAGCCAACTATTTCGCTATTTCGCTACGCTATATTTTTTAGTTTTACTGTATTTGGAGCATCTACTAACTCAGGCTGTAATGTAACCTATAGCAAATCGACTTACGAGTAGCAACAGTAAGCACAAAGCAACATTTTTGTAAGCACTATACGTCTACAGTGTTCAGGAGTGCAAATTGACTATTGAGTATTGATTTTACCTCAATATTATGCTATTCTATCAAGTTGCTAACAATTTTAAAAAGTAGCGAATAGCGATTCGCTGTTTGAAAAGTAATCAACTACTTGGCTACTTTTAGGCAAAATGTAGTTCGCTGTAACTACAGCTACTGATTTAAAAAAGTAGTCAAAAACTACTGGCTACTTGAAAATTGTAGTTCGCTACAGTAGCGAACTACAACTACTTCGCTACTACCCACCCTTGCTTATACACTGGCGTTTCCGAATGTTCTGGTAATTTCCGAACAACTCCGATTCATGTTTGCTTCTTCGCAACTTCAAACACGTGTTATTACGTTTATAAATATGGAGAATGAAACGTAGCAATGTTTTTATAATGCACTTTGTTGTACATCTTACACAGTAATTACTATGTGTATTTTGGAAGAGAATATATTAAAATTTGTACATTTTAAGTATCGTTTCGTTCCAAATATGCATTCGAAACTATCAGTACTATTCTGCATATCCTCACACGTGGTATTAGGGATTATCCTTAATTGTCAAATTTGCTAAAGATTAAATTAAGGATATGCCTTATATTAAGTTGAACCTTAACCCCCACCCAACCCCCACTCTAACCTCTAACCCTAACCCTGGTTTAATCTTAATCTGGCTCTAATCTAATCCCAATCTAAAAATGACTACATTTTTTTAATATTCCCGCCCCTGCGCGTCCAGTCTCCCTAATACTACGTGTGAGGATATGTTGCATTATTAGTCTTGAAAGGTCAAGGTGGAGGTAGGGAGAGTGCTGTGCAATATCTGTAACTTGTAGGTAATCTGCAACAGTCAAAATTACCACAAGGTGTTGTGGAAGCACAACCGACAAAAAGGTTACTGAGCATTTCCGATCGCGCACGACCACAATGTAGGCCTACAGCTGCGGTAAACAATGGTTTAAGATAAAATTCCCCCATATAATAAGTGTAAATTTGCTTCAGGTTCGCTCGCTCCGCAGCAAAAAAGGTTGGGTGAAATACAATTGTCATTTTCCCGAAAAGTAAAGAAAAATATCCAACTCGAAGTTTAACTCGAAGTCCAACTCGAAGTCCAACTCGAAGCCCAACTCGAACTCGAATCCAACTCGATGTTACCTAACTCCCGGGGGGGGGAGGCCGACGTACTTAGAATGGCCAAAAATGTGAAAAGTCTCATTTTTCCCGCGATTGTCTGAGATGGAGCTGTCTGGGGGTTAGCTGTCTAAAATTTGAAATTTTGCCAAACTCTAGCGATCAAGTTGACATGATTGAAATTGACATATTTCAATCAATTAACCAAAATTTTTTGTCCCCCAAAATGTAGAAATACTGCAAGGAGGCTGCGCGGGGGACTGGTCAAGAATAAAGAAGCTTTTTTAACGAATTTAATTTTTTACTATCATTTACTTACTACAGAAAAATCTTTAGGAAAACAGACAAGCTGTAGGCTAAATCGATCTATTAAAATACTTTGCCAGAAAGTAAGACACATCTAATAAGCGATGAAAACCTAATGTATAGTGTTTTATTAACTACTCTTAGTCCTTTCAAGCTCAATTAGCCATCATTTCCTGAGGAGGGATTCATTATATAACAGTTCGTCAGCTTAGCCGTATGACGAAAAATAAAACTTTGTTATTTATACTGCAGCATGTGTTGTGGTGCTTGTGGGATGTTCACCAACTAATCTAAAGTGATTAGTTCATGTGAATTTTATGCACTTGGCTTCATACTTGGCCGACGTACTTAAAATGGCCAAAAATGTGAAAAGTCGCATTATTTTTGCACGCGATTGTAAATTTAGAGCTGTAAAGCTAAACATTTACAAAAGAATTTGCCATCGTTCATCTCAGTAAACTAAAATTTTTATTATAATAATTTTTTACACAGAAATGAATTGCGTGAAAATATGTTATAATATTCATATATTTCCCGAAAACTATTTTACTATCCATAATCGGAAAAATTTGACCGTATCTTGAGCTACGCTTGATACCCCCTGGATCCGCCCCTGCTGAAATGACCCATTTACGTATCTTTCTGCGTGTAGCACATTAGTTTTCTAATTTCCATATCTCATATCGATGTATTTAAGTCTCAAAAACTGCCATATGTTAGTAGTGAGTTTTTGGATGTTTACAAGTAGCCAGCAGCGAGTGAAAGCGTTTTCCGACATTGTAAAAATTAAAAGGTAAAGTTCTAGATTTTGTATTTATTATGATTTAAATAGAAACTGCTTAATACAAAAACCCATGCTTGGCTGATTTCAACTACATTTGCCTATATCATTGCCATGCAGCGACAGCCAGGCCATCACCCGATTTTTTCGTTTCGACATTGTCAGTGAATACACTAAAACCCATTTGCGTCATGGCTTTCCCACATCCATTTTTTGTGTCTGTCATTCCCTGTCCTAGAATTAAAAATATAATTTCTCATTTGCTACAGCTACTATAATTATTTCAAATATAGCATCATTCTTTTCAAGTTAATGAAACTCTAGTAAACACTAGAATATACTCTATACCCACACATAATGAAAATACACCCGATGCAAAATACAGTATATAGTTTGTTTGTTTGCTTGGCGCGCTTTCGGGAGAGTTTACAAGATATTCAAGTTTTTAAAATTCGGAATGTTTGGCCAAGGGTGAGTTTTCAATATGATTGTTTCAGTTTGTGTGATGTTTTGACGGCATTTGATCCCCCGTTAAAAAGGTTATTTTGTGAGGGTTTTAATGGTGTTTTTCGTTTTAAGGGGGGGGGGGTAAATACTTGCTGCGATATTTATCATATCCGGAATGTTGTGCACTCTCTACCTAAACAGCTGTTTCCTTGTTTTCTTTTTAAAGATCAAGTTAAACCGTCATGGCGTTGGATTATGATGAAGTTTTTGATTTTCTTGAAAAACTTGTTCTGTCAGAGATAGTGATACTAATATTAATAATTATCTTTGCAATCCTGGGCAACGCTTTGGTTTTGGTTGCGACCTGGAGAGAAAGAAGTCTTCATGAACCAACTAAATATTTTGTTGCTTGTCTGGCTGTCGCTGATCTTTTGGTTGGAATGATTTTGGTCCCACTTCGGTTGTATCAACTTGTGAACATAGAAAATGGAGGAATTACGTCTATTCATCTTTGCCGTTTTTACATTTGGTTAGATGTATTTTTGGAAACAGCGTCTATTTATACCCTGACGTTCATCAGTTTTGATCGATACCTGAAGATCAGCAAGCCGCTTCAGTATAAATCACAAATGACAACTTCCACATCACTGAAAATAATTTTCATCATTTGGCTAATCGCAGCTACCTATGCGACTTTGGCCATGTTTCCCTATGCAGATAGTCCTGGTATCGTTATATCCACTGGAGGATGCTTTAGTGTAAATAAAATCTTTTATACTTTTGCCGCCGTTAGCGCGTTTTTTCTACCCACGACAGTCATGCTGGTTATGTACACTCTTATTTTTCTTGTCGCTCATAAACGACAAAAAATGCTGCGAAATGGTGAACTGGGCCAAACTTCCGATAATCCAAACCAACGAAGTGCCGTGCGTCAAGATCTAAAAACGATCCGCATGTTGGTGGTTGTCGTGGGAATGTTTATTTTTTGCTGGGGTCCTTTCTTCATTTCGTTCATGATATTTTACTATCAAACAAATGATGTATTTTGGCTCTCAAGCTATTGCGATGAACATTCCTGCAAAAACATCGTATATTTGATAAAGGTTCTTTGGCAGCTAGTAACCATTCTCCCAATATTCAACTCTATTTTCAATCCATTAATTTACGCTTGTCTTGACCAGAAGTACAAGGAAGCTTTCAAACATCTGTTTCACCGAATGATGTGTCGGTCAAGATCAAGAAGGAGGGAGCCACCACAGTAAAGTTACGATGACGGCACAAATGATAAAATCTGTGATCGAGCGTCACTCTACTTTGAAAATCACGTAGGCACGCTTAAAGAGTCATTGTCAACCACAATGCATTTTTTTTATATTTTACCTTCGGAAGTGAGAAAAAACAACAAATGACGATTATAAACATTTCTTTGGTGCAATTTTAGTATAAAAAAGTTAAAATGAGCAAGTATAACCATGGGATGGTAGTAATATATTATGGATTGAAAACCGAAACATCTACACTGCAAAAAACGCCTAGCCTGTAACAATGTTGTTGAAGACAGGCCTGAACAATATTTTGCTGCCCATATTGTTCCTGGTTGTTAACAATATTATTGTTTAGGTGAAAAATGCTGAACAATATTGTTAACAACCAGGAACAATATTTACGGCAACCACTCAGTATTTTTATAAAATACAAAGAACAGTAACTCCGAATAACATGGGAAACAATATGGACAGCAAAATCTTGTTCAGGCCTCTGTGTATTATTTCGCCATTAAAATGACCGTCAAGCAGGTTTGGGCGCAGAATGCATTGTGGTTGACAATGACTCTTTAAAACTGCGACACTCTGGAAGCTCATGCAAAACACTTTCAAAACTGACAATTCTTGTTTAGCCAATGGTATAGTGCCACGTATTTCAGATTAACTCCCCCTTAATACTTTTAAAAATAACGAATTATTTCAGCATATAATTACATTGCAGACAAGTCATAATCGCACTTTAGGGAATCTGAAAATGAGGCAATTCATTAACCCCCTAAGAGTTTAATGTGTTCAGAATTGATTTACTGAATTTTGTATTCGGCTCAGAATTTATCTGCTCAGTTATTTCAAGCCTACTTTGGGGGCCAAGGTCGCCTAATTTCGCATAATGTCGCAGAATGTTGCACATAATAACGGCGACCTTGCCCCCCAAAGTATGCCTAACGGGCATTCTTAGTCAGAATGTCAAGATTAGGGGCGGACCATTAGAAATCCCGGGAGTGGGGGTATAAAATTTTTGCGGCACGAACTGGGTTTTTTTCAGTCTCGTGTCTCTGCAGGAATTTTTTTTAATGCATTTAAGCTCCGCACGAATTTTTTTTCAAGACTATTTCTACTTCGCTGTTTGCTTGCACGAATTTTTTTTCTGACGTAATGGCTGCACGAATTTTTTTCCAGGCATTTTCCTTTGCACGAATTTTTTTGGGGGAATTTTCACCCCCCCCCCCGGGATTTCTAATGGTCCGCCCCTTATGGTATTGCTTGCCAAATGAAGTGTCCATTAATGGTATAAACATTTTTAGGTCATCTTTGAGAACCTTTTATGTTGATATTTAAAGGATTGTATTTCATCATGTTTATCTCATAACTTTTATTTGTTCAGAGGGCTAAATATCCATGAAAGTACTTCATTAGAGATTCAAGGTGTTTTTATATAGGGGGTTAAGAGCAAAGCATGCAAGAGGTATATATACTCGTATTTATAGACCCCATTAATTAAAGTATTCATCAATTCATGGTACTCTAGCATTATGTTTAACGACATTATTTTGACAGCCGTTGAATAGAAAAGTACTAATTCAGGGTATTTTTAACTATATACCTACTGGGGCATTTAACCCAGTAGGCCCAGTGTTCCTATGCAGATAGTCCTGGTATCGTTACTTCTACTACAATTGGATGCTTTATTTTAAATAGAATCTTTTATACTTTTGTCGCCGTTGCCGCCTTTTTTCTACCTACGACAATCATGCTGGTTATGTACATTCTTATTTTTCTTGTCGCTCATAAACGACAAAAAATGCTGCGAAATGGTGCACTGGGCGAAACTTCCAACAATCTGAACCTGCGAAGTGCCTTGCTTCGAGATCTAAAAGTGATCCGCATGTTGCTCGTTGTCGTGGGCGTGTTTATATTTTGCTGGGCTCCTTTGTTCATATGCCTCTTAATATTTTACTATCAAACAAATGATATATTTTGGCTCTGGTGGTATTGCGATGAACATTCCTGCAAAAACATCGTATACATGATTCTTCCCCGGCTAATAAGCATCCTCCCGTTAGTCAACTCTATTTTCAATCCTTTAATTTATGCTTGGCTTGACCAAAAGTACAAAGAAGCTTTCAAACATCTGTTTCAGCGAATGATGTGTCGGCCAAGTCCAAGAAGGAGAGAGCCACCACAGTAAAGTTACGACGACGGCACAAATGATAAAACCCAGTGGCGTGCTGGGTACTATTTTTCTGGAGGGGCCAGTAGGCTGACAGCCAATATGCGCCCCTATGATGTTACACTTGATAAACGAGGACCAAAGGCACGAGCCAAGTGCCGCAGGTGCGAGGTTTGTCTAGGGGGGTCCGGGGGCATGCCCCCCGGGAAAATTTTTGAATCTAGAGTCTCTGAAATGCCATTTCCTGGACTTTGGGGGGAAGATTTGACAGAAATCTGATGGTCAGGAAACGGCATTATAACGTGTCGAAATTTGCAATTTGGTTAGAATTTAGTAGTAGTACTTAAATTATGCAATGCTAACTACTTCCAGCGATTAATCTAATCCCAATTCTGTTCTCTACTGATCTACTGTTCTGTGCACATTTACAACTTAAAGCTCTTTTATACAATAACACGCGCACTCCACGCATATGCATTTTAAGGTTTCTTTGCCTGGCTGCCAAAAGGGCATGTTTCAGCATTATTTCATTACTTACATTACTCATGCTTCTTGTGCAAACAACTAAATTGCGTACACAACTTTACATCAGTTATCATAACTTCAACTATCTAATTTGCGCCGCTCTCGTGATTCGTGAAGCATAATAAAGGGCATAATATAAGGGCATAATACCAGCAAAAAAGGGCATAATTCTCGTGATCGCTAAGATCGAAACCTGACGAATATTCCGGTAATGAGACATTGCCTGTGATCACTGATCATGTTTCTATATGAACGATTTCGTGTGAGCTGTGAGGTAGCAAATACGGTTAGGCAAAATAGTCTGTAATTTAATATATGTCGCCAATGCGCTTAGTCTGTTTTATACTATAGCCTATAAACACGTCTTTTCTTGGCGGAAGTAACCATATTTTTTCGAGAATGCGTTTTTTCCCACCCACTTTCAAAATTCGGCGCCCCTTTTTCATTTTTGCGCCCCCCCCAAGAATTGCCAGCTGGAGGGGGGGGGGGGTGGCCGCCCGGCTCCCCCTGCCAGCACGCCACTGATAAAACCTGCGATCAAGCGTTACTCTGCCTTGAAAATCACGTAAGCATGCTTAAAACTGCGACACTGTGGAAGTCCAAAACACTTTCAAAACTAATATGTTTCACCTTTCAAAACTGATAATTTTAGTTAAGCCAATGCATGGTAGTTATGGAACAACCTGCCCGACGATATCAAATCCTCTTTCACTGTTCAGTCGTTTAAAACTAAACTCAATAAACATTATACTGAGAAACTTAATGCATGTTTTGATGTTGATAGACCAAGACGAACGACTAGGAAAACATTTTGTTCTAAGTGTCGTTCTTGCTTTTTATAATTTTAATTAAATTGTTCCTGAAAGTACATTTTAACGAATTTTAATTGTGTACATATATAATGATGTGTAATCTATGAATTGTTATTTTAAATAGTGTTGTAAATTACAATGTAGCATGTCAGGCGGACTTAATTTAGGACTTTATTTGTCCTTTTGTCTGACCCTTCTTCAATTGTTATAATTGTAAAATTAATTTTAAAAAAGGGGGAAATATATTTCAACCAATTTTTTCCCCGAAAGTCTGCTTGTGCTGAAATTTATTTGTGCGGAGTTTTAAAGGTGTTTTTCTTTGATTTCCACTTTCCACAGCTTCTCTTCTTTTGTTTTAATTTGCGCTTTTTTACCTGCCTGGTCCAGAGGTGCAGAAGAGGGGGGCCTGGCCCTCTAATTTGGAGTTCAAGGGGGGGGGGGCTGAGACTCCCTTGTTAACTAAATTTCATGGCGATTTGAAAGGCTGACCTCCCAATATTTTTGCAGATTGTATGTTCATAACCTGGAAAGTTTTTTGCAACTGTAGTGTTGAAATGATGCGGTAATGATGTTAGTAATCTGTACTTGATTACTATGATCATACTATTTATAGGTAATGTATGTGGCTCCAACATGAAATAGCTTCGGTGTCTTCGGTATATCGGAATCAGTGGCGGTAACGGAGGAAGAGGGGGCCCGAAGGCATATTTGGTGTGGGGGCCCCTGTTGACTGTTGTCATTGTTTGACTGAGATATTATATTTATATTGAATATTTATAGAATATTCTGGAAAATTTCGTGTCTATAACAATAACAATAACAGTCTCCAATACATATAACAACCGTAACAAGAATAACTTTTGTTCTATTTGAGATGGAATAAAAAAATCAGCTACGGTTGTCGATGGAGGCTTTACTATTTAGCATTATTGATTTTGCATTTTCCCATTGATTCTTACCTGCAATCCTGCATGTTTTACGTTTTCTAATTTTCTGGGCGATGGACCGTGGCTGATGGGACCCTTAACTGTCGGGGGGGGGGGGGGCTTAGTTTTGAACTATGCCGGAACCGCACAACTTTAACACTCGCACAAAAAAAACAATCAGGCAAACTTTGGCAAACTCCCAAGCGCAACTATAGAATTGGAATGATAACTGAGGGGAGCTGAACATGATAAACATGAGAAGTTTCAGTATTTATTTTTGTTTCTAATAATTTTTTAATTAGTGTTTTTTGACTGAAAAAGAACTTAACTTATAAACTTCAAACAAAAGATTCCGAATGTGCAATTTTTGTGAGGAAATTTGGTCAAAAAATTCATTGTACGTTGGAATTAGAAAATTTAATATGATCGTCAAATTTTTGTCTCATCCCCCCCCC